TTGTCGAGAGTTTACGAATCCGACGGAGAACTCTGTGTCGTAGCCGCAATCGCCGACGAATGGTATAATCGACGAATGGACGCGGTTAGGGAACATCCGGGGAAATATTCGGGTTGGAGAGCCGAGGAAGATAGGTTGTATTTTCGGAAGCCTCACGCGGTGGGTCGTGATTTTCGCGAATCACAGCGCGACGAGATTCTTGGGGGAGGACCAGCTTCCACTGATTCTGGTCCTCGACAACTTGCGACACCACTGCGTGAGGCTTCCGAAAATACAACCTATCTTCCTCGGCTCTCCAACCCGAATATTTCCCCGGATGTTCCCTAACCGCGTCCATTCGTCGATTATACCATTCGTCGGCGATTGCGGCTACGACACAGAGTTCTCCGTCGGATTCGTAAACTCTCGACAACGCGTCTGGCACGTGGTGCCTCGCGCCTTTTCTATGTTCGATCGCGTAGTCGTATTCCAATAACTCGAGAGCCCAACGCGCCAAACGTCCTGTGGGATTCTTCAGGTTATGCAGCCAGCGGAGACTGCTGTGGTCTGTAATAACCGTAAAATGGTACCCCTCCAAGTACGGCCGAAATTTCTTTATCGCCCACACGACGGCTAGGCATTCTTGTTCGGTCGTGGAGTATCGCGTTTCGGCGTCCGACAGCGACCTACTCGCGAAAGCTATTACTCGTTCGGTTCCTCCCTCGATTTTCTGGGTTAACACCGCGCCTAAGCCCATGGAACTTGCATCCGTCTGTAGAATGAACGGCAGCTCAAAATCCGGACACGATTCGTGTGCGAGCTACGGAATTTGGTGGGCGTTTGTGGCCAACTGTTCTGCTTAGTTCTACTTACGATTTAATATTGCGTCATTCAACTAATTTGAAAAGACCGGCCAAGTATACCTCTGCACAGAAAATCAGGTCCATCCAAAGGAAAAAAAGGAGATTCGCTGCTCTCATCCAGTCTCAATACGAAATTAAAATACGAGATTCATCGAGAACGAGATTAAAATAATGGAAAATCTATTTCCAAACATCCAAATAGAGGATTATTTACAACGTCTCTTGGCTGCTTCAATAAATATAAAACAAGATATAACTCTTTTAGACCGGGATACTGAGCTAGGTATCAATACAAGAATTTTGAGGACCGATATACAAACCAGGTTAATAGATATGCATAGAGATATTGTCATGGCATTAAACATGATTGAGAACATGAATCCTCCACAACCTTCGCAATTTGAACTAAGAAATCTTTATTAAAAAATCAAAAATGTTTACGTTCGACTACTTTCCTGCTTCTTCGAGTATCGTTCTCTGGGGACTTCAATTGCATGATATCCAGCGGCATGGGAAACGAAAAGCTTACGACCTTGTCTATGTTCATCTGCAGCAGCAAATCGTCCACTAGTTTCCTCTGGCTGTACTCCTTGTCGTACACGACCGACGAGTATTTAAAATCTTTATACGTGTAAATTGCGGGATGAGTGTCGAGATGTAGCAAAATTTATATTTACTTTAAAATAAACTATTATTCTTATTCATAAAAAAAAAA